GTAAATATAGATTTCAATCAAATCATTTGAGAACAAAATAGATGGAAAAGAGATATTATCTTTTAAAAAATTATAATTATATAAAAAAAGATGAATGAATTTAACATTAAGATTATCATCTTTCTTAATTTTTTTGATATTTCAATTTTATTTTCAAACATCTCTGTAATACACAGTTCTGCAACTTTCATTTAAGTGTCAAATTCATAATTAATAATTCAGATATTGATATTAAAAAAAATATTAAATGTTAAAGAAAAAGTAATTTCATCATCTGTTAAATTCTCTCTCTATCATTCTGTCAAATCTTTTCAAATTCATGAAATATTTAATGAAAAGCTGCTGTCTATATATACAAAATTCACAATCACTAGTCAGCAACTGAAGAAAATTCAAAATCAACAATTAAATGAATGTGATTCTTTACAGATTGAATATAAAATAACTGTTCATTAACATTATCAAAAAAAAATTATCATAACTGTAATGTGACGGCGCCGAGGCGATTGCTACTCGGCAGCGGCACAGAGGAGGATGGTATATAATGGGAAGCCTTATGGGTGGGCTTGATTATCTCGCTTGAACCGCGAACTCGTAGAATACTATACAAATACTGAACTACCAGAGGTACTCGGCACACTATGAATATTGTATGAGGACAGTGGTAACTCTGGTATCTTATTGTCAAAAGATAAAAGACGAATCGCTGGCTCCTGGAATAGAGAGCCAGCATCTAGCTATTCTATATAGACAACGGGCAGCCATCCTCCCCTCACTCTATAAGCGAGGGTAGCCGAAGCAACTCCGCAGTGGCGCTGCATTGATCTGCCAGAAGGAATCCAGACCCCGTATAGAAACAGGATTCTCATATCTCATCAATCGGATCCTCTTCTATTGCATCCGAATGATGTCATAGGGTGGTTGGAAACCGGTTCGGACACCTGCGTGATGTCATGGGATAGATGGGATTATCCGAGGGGAAACGATGGGCCGTGTGGAGCCGTCACGGGGCCTTGGCACAACCAAGGGTGTGACAATGCCCTCCCCTTTAAAGGCATAGTCCCGATGCCTCAAGATTACCGGATTGGGAATTATCTTTGTTGTGTAGCAACGGTTGCCAACCGCTTTGGCAGCGCGCGCGCTGCGCGGCATAAAGGAATGGGTGAGTCTTATTCGACGTGATTCTTCTGCTGAATGCCCAGTCCTTCTTTTTCTCCCCCCCCCCTGGTCTGCAATAGTGAGTGCATGGGAACGTCGTCCTTGGAAGACAGTAAGGGGGCTTATTCTGATGTTTTTTAGTGGGTAAAAAACGTTTACGTGGTGCAGCTGCGGCCTCTGTCGCGGCCAAAAGGGCCAGGTTGGAGGCGGAGGGGGAGACACCTAGCAGCTGTGGGGGTTTTGCTCCTCCCCCCCTGCCGCTGTCACACCGCCCCCCCCCCGCCAATCAACAGGGCGATGTATGACCCCGCATGGTCGTTCGGAGAGGACCTCAGGGAGAGCTTGGTTCCTTTGCTTTCTCCTTGTGGGGAAACCCCGGTGCGGCGCCTGGCTGGCACCGCTACCTGCCTTCGCTGCGCCAAGCAGCTTCGAGAAGGGGGGATCCTTTGCACCCGCCCCTCCGCACATTCACGCTGTTTCCGTTGCGTGAAAAATAACGACACCTGCCTTCCTGTACGTACTGCTCCTTCTGTAACGGCGCCGTGCCGGTTCTGACAAGGCGTATAGGTGCCAAAGCAGTACAGGGCCAAAGTTGTGGATCTCCAGGCGTTGGCGGATTCCGTCCGTTCTGGGGAGGTTCCCAAGGCCCGTCTGGAGAAGGAGGCGAAAGCGTGGGTCTCCGAGGTGGAAAAACACTTCAGAATGGCCGGCCCTAAGAAGAAGGGGTCGGCCGGCGCCGCCGTTGGAAGCGCCACGGAGACAAATCGTTTGTTGGAGAGGATCTCGCTCCAATTGGAGCAGGTGACTGAGGTGCTTTGCAAATTGGTAAGTTGACACTTTGTTGTACTTTCCTACACCCCCCTGCGGCGCCGCAGCGCTAACTCCACGGCAGGCAAAGGTGCCGGTGCCAGGGACTCCGTCGGTGGAGGAGGAGTTCGGTGGGGGTGAGGTGGTGGAAGAATGAGGCCTTCAGGTGTTTTCTTCGATCTTCGTGGGCTTCGGCCCTTATAGAATAATAGCGACCCTCAGGCCAAATAAAATTGCATTAATTGTTGGTTCTTCATATCCCTTTTTTCCTTCCTACCGCTCTGAGATCTTTGAGCTGCGTAACCTCATTAAACTCCTAAAAACCCTTTGGGAAAAAGAAGAAGTCTCAAGCAGCAGCTCTTGCCTAACCACACTCCGACGTGCAGCGAGGCGGTCTCTACTAGCCACATCATATTTTGCGATCTCTTCCTCGGCATTCTCTAAATGCTCAAGCGGTTCCCATGAGTTCTCGGATGATGGATAACCTTCCCATTTGACAAGGTATTGAACTTTGTTGTAGTGCATTCGTTTGTCCAATATTCCTTCTACAAGATATTCGGTATTACCCTCAATCTCGAGCCCATCCGGCCGAGGCGGCTCCGCCCCGGGTCGTTGCTTATAGGGTTCCAAATAGGAAATGTGGAAGACAGGATGGATAGATTTGAATCCTGAGGTTAGTTTCAACTCATATGCCTGCTTACCCACTACCCTTATTATCGGGAAAGGTCCCAACCATCGCTCACTGAGCTTCTTGCACGGTCTCGTCGTCTTGATGTTCTTTGCTGAAAGTAACACTTGATCCCCTATTGAGAACTTCATTGGAAGGTGTTTTCGATTATAGTATTCCGCCTGTCGCTCCTGGGCGCGGCGGATGCTTTTCGCCGCCTCCCCGTGGATTCTATCCAGAAGCTCCAATCTAGCTTTTACTTCTGGCACCGAGGGGTACTCTGTCCCACGATCCCGTTCGACATTCCGACTGTCTATCCCCCCCTTTAGGACGTCGTCCGCGACGTCACTAGGTAATGAAGGATTATACCCATAACAAGCATAAAAGGGGGACACTTTTAAGGTTGCATTCTTTGCATTGTTATATGCGAATTCGGCGGTCGGAAGGTGTCTAGGCCAGTCATTCTGATGATATGAACAGAACGCCCGAAGATGGTGTTCTAATGTCTGATTCTGACGTTCAGTCTGGCCATCTGTCTGAGGATGGAACGCGGTGCTGAGGAGGCGCCTTATCGTAAGGTGATAGCAAAAGGCCGACCAGTATTTACTGGTGAAAAGGGATCCTCGGTCTGACACTAACGATTTCGGAGAACCGTGATCACGAATGATGGCATCTAGAAACAGGTTAGCCAATTCAGGGGCTTTAACCTTCTTGTGGGTAGGGATATATTTGGCCATCTTCGTAAAGCGGTCGACAATAACTAGAATTGAGTCATATCCTTTGACTCTTGTCGACTTCGGCAGGTCAACTATGAAATCCATCGATAGATCCTGCCATGGGCCCTTTGGAACAGGCAGTGGCGCCAACTCGCCATACTGCTTGTGCCGCGGAACCTTTATCCTCTGGCAGACATCACAAGTTTCAACATACTCCTTGACATCTGTCCGAAGCTTGTCCCAAACGTACTTACGTCTCAGGAGCTCTTCAGTCTTCTCTAATCCGAAGTGCCCAGCATGGGGATCATCGTGATGAATCCTCAATAACTCCTGGCGCACCGCCCTGCTACGAGGGACAAAGACTGAACCATTTAGCAGTAGGAGTCCACATTCCCCTAGTTGCCAGCGACTTGGTTCCTCGGCGGCACCGCCCCGCTCAGGGCTTGCCCCTTCCAAGTTCGACCCGGATCCTTCCTCCTTCAACTTCTGGATTCGAGCCGCAGTAAGGGCGTCCCTCTGCTGCAACTCACCAATGAATTCTAGAAGCCGTTGGGTTGGAAGGTTGTAGACCGTTTCGTCTTCCGCCAATTCAATGGCAGCAAAACGTGGCACGAGAAGTTCATGACCTTCAGTGCCAGTCCCCTGCGGGGACCCGAGTTCTCCTCCACCTGTATAGGGTCGCGCAGCTGCCTTACCGGCGCCGTTCCCAAGCTTTAGAGAACCCCAACCCCCTGCAGCCAGTTTCTTCTGCAGTGATGGTAGAGGTCCCTTTGTAGGATCCTCATCCCCATCAACGATATCATAATCGGGTCGCCTTGATGGCGCATCGGCGGGGTTAAGCCGACCTGGACGGTATCGGATAAAGAAATCATACTCCGAAAGCAGCTCCGCCCACCTGGCTTGACGTCCTGTCAAGCTCTTTGTTGTCAAGAAGTAACGCAAATTTGCATGGTCGGTGAGAACTTGCACCGGATACTTGCAACCTTGAAGGTAGTGTCGCCAAATCTTAAAGGATTCAACTATTGCCAACATCTCTTGATCATGAGTATCATACCTTCTTTGCGTGAGCGATAGCTTCTTGGAGAAGAAGGCCACTGGTCTCCATTCACGGCGCCTTGTAGGTTCTGTGAAAAAGCCTTCTCCTACAGGCATTCCATTGCCTGTATCTCCAGAGGTTATTAACCCCCGATCCTTCCAACGTTGGAAAGTCTCCGGTGTCAACTGCGAAAAGATTCCGCAGACACCATTCCCAGATGCATCAGTTTCACACTGACTGGGTAGGCCGGGGTCGAAGTGATTTAACATCGTGGCATCTGCAAAAGCTTGCTTCAATTCTTCAAACGCCCTCACAGCGTCTTGGGTAAGGATAAACGGTCCCGTTTTCCTGCCTTTAACACTTCCCTTTAACAAATCTGTAAGGGGGGCAGCAATCCGCGAATACGCATAGATGAACCGTCTATAGAAATTCGCGAACCCTAGGAATACCTGCACCTCGCGGTACGTGCGCGGCGCCGGCCAGTCCTCAATGGCGGAGACCCGGCTCCTGTCCATTGAAATGCCATCAACCCCAACAATATAACCTCAAGCGATCCAACACCTCCCGAACGTGGGAATCATGTTCTTTTTCCGTTTTCGAGAAGATTAGGATGTCGTCCAAGTATACTATGCAGGAGACATCGACAAGGCCCCGCAGCGCCTCATTTATGTAGGCCTGGAAGGTGGCCGGAGCGTTGCAAAGACCAAAAGGCAAAAACGAGATATTCAAAATTGCCGTACTTTGGTACGAAAAGCTGTCTTTCCAAATGTCGTTTTCCGTTAAACCCTTATTCTATGATAGGCGTCCCGTATGTCAATCTTTCGAGAACACCCTTGCTTCCGATAATCGATCGGATCATCTCATTCAATTAAATGGTTAGTGTATAGCCGAATCCTTTAACCGTCACCTTAATTGGAGGCCCCCTCTGTAGTCTACGGCCGAGGGCCCAGCCCTAACCGTC